GCTTTATTCACACATGCCTCTGTTTTTATGCAGAGAAAATCTTGATGCTTTGTTTATGCTTCTAGATGCAATAAAAGACGCACGTTTACATGCTTTGCTGCATTTACGGCATGTTCACACCATGTCCGGATCATGTCCAGACCAGGACAGCATCCCAATGTATCCCTATAGTATTTCTGGGCTCTGTTCACACCAGCGCAGTCCATTGGACCACACCTGAACCCCCATTTTAAGCTAAAAGAAAAACTGTTCCAAAACGCGGCAAAATTACAGTAAAATCGGGTAAAAATGCGGCAAAGCGCAATACACAGCGGTCCAGATCTGGCCTGGAAAATGGTGTGAACCTGGCCTTAGAAGTTAAAATCGATTCCTAGGTGCAACTGACTTCTATTTTTTCTAAACACAGCTGAAATCACTGCAGATAAAATCCTCTAAACGCAGTGTGAATCGATCGATTTGGAAACCATTAGATGCATATATAAGCGTTTAGAAAATCTCTTTAAATGGATCTAATTGCACATAGTGTGAATGTAGCCTTAGCCAAACATTTCCCTTGCACAGGGCCTTAGTGCAATGCACAGGTTAAGGACTTGTTTTCACCATGTCCGGATAATGTCCAAACCAGAACAGTTTGTTCCCGGACCAAAAAAGCATCCCAATGTATCCCTATGGTATTTCTGGGCTCTGTTTACACCAGCGCAGTCCCTTCTGGTCCAGACAAAAAAAAATACTGCTTGTCTCATTTTCTCTGGTCTGGAATGCACTGAAACGCATACAAACGCACTGGAAGCCCATTTTAAGCTAAAAAAACGTGGCACAATCGCAGTAAAATTGCGGCAAAATTCACTGCACTGCGTTTGCAGATCTGCTCCAGATCTGGTCCGAACATGGTGTGGACATAGCCTAAATGCTTGTTGAAGCAGACCTTCACTCTGAAAAAACACTTTGCATCCTTGCGACCCTCCACAGTCTAAAAAGCGCACTTTTTCCTTATTTTGTTTAACACCAGCCTGCCACCAACCTTGCCTAGGCGAGAATGACGTGTCCTTTGCTCCAGTTGCCTCCTGGGATTTTTTCATCAGATATCCCAGGAGGCACTGGCTTCCACACTGCAGGAGGTCCAGGGCTGGCTTGGCAGCACGTCAAGAACCTAGACGAGACAGTCGGCTATGACGATATAAGAACAGAATTGGTGGTGCGTCCAGGCGTGCCACAGGGGGTTGGAGGGTCACACCAGGAGAACGCTGGATGTGCTGGGTACCTTTTGGAATAACCCTAACCACAAAGGTAAGAGGGGATCTTAAAAAAAAAAAGACATTGAAGTGAAGGTACTCTCTAAACCAGAACACCAGGCAGAATATTCCTTAACCCTTGCAGTATGTATACCCCCACACTGCAAGGGTTAAGTGCTCGTTTTTGTCTAGGTGCTAAAAAAAAATAATTAAACTCACCTGATCCTCTGAGTCAGCCAGCTCTTAAACCAGTCCCTGGAGCCTCTCTCCTTGTTCACTGCAGCGGTCTAAGGTCCTGTAATTCATCACGTTCTATACGCAGTGCATAAACGTGAGGAGGCCGGGGAACATTCCAATGTACACGGAAGGGGAGACAGGCTTCAGTGACTAAAGAAGCAGGCAGCCGGCTTGGAGGATTGGGTGAGTATAACTTTTCTTTTTTAGCATCTAGCTTAGCTTATGGGACTGTTTTTGTTCTCCATTCACAGATCTTGTCAAATAATCTGTGAATGGATGACAAGGATGTGTAGGCAGAACTATGCACAGCTGCACCATTTTCAAAACATCAGGAGAAGAACTCCGCTACTCAAGCAAGTGGGGGGGGGGGGGGGGGTCAATGTCAACATGTTTCATGTTACACCCCGAATATGGGAATAACATGAAGCATAGCATAAAAAGTAAACCATGGGCCCAGGGCCTGCTGATTTCTTGGCAGTAGTAAGGCCAACTGAGGCCTTGCCACATCCCACCCTGCTATAGAATAATGCTTAGTATAATATATCACACACATGCGTGTATTTCACAAGAACCCTATAGGCTGTGAAAGCAGAGACGCCATATCTTCCGTAACTTTACAGCCCTTTACAGTGGAGAACAATGTGAATGGAAACCCAAGCCAGCGTGTTTTGTTTGTTGCTGTTCAGTTCCATGAAAAAGATGTAAATCTGCTTCTATCCCTTTTTTTTTTTCCTCAATGCTTTTGCAATAATGCCCAAGCCAATCTTACTATTAAGAGGGATAATTGTAATATCATGTGACTTTGACATTCCTTTCTGCTTTTGTTTTGACAGAGGATTTCAGATGTTGTAATCTCTAAACTCTGTTCTGTTTGTTCCAGTGTATGGCAAAGAGCAGGGGAAAATTATTTAGTACATTCGGTGTACAAGTCACACTGCTGACACCCACCATGCCACACTTTACTGCAGGTTTATAAGGGACTTTAATGAGACTGCAGGGGACATCAGGCGCTTATTGAATAATTGGAAGAGCTCCAAAATTGACATTAGAGATTAGAAGGATGTTAGGGTGAGCTGAGCTGCTGAGAGAATGACATGAATGTATCTTGAGGATGAGTCGCTCCACCGAGCCTGTAGCTACAGAGGTCAGTAAGAGCTTGTTTTATAGCTGACCTACTGATTGTTAAGGATATGTAAATACTTGAATATCCATAACTTAGTCACAGGTTGACATTAGCAGAAGTAAAATATAAAACGCGTCTGCTGCACCTCATAACAAATACATTGGAACAAATACAGTCATTTGTTTGTGGAACAGCCAGATATATGATCCATCACCAGCCAAGCACTGCAGAAGTTGTCAGTAAGTGGCATAGCAACATCTCTATTCATTCAGAAAGCTGTTTGTGTGAAAGGTGTCTATTTAGTAAAATTATTTGAACATTTATTTTTTTATTATTCTTATTAGTTTTTGAATAACAACATGAATTAAATCAGACAGCTATAAAAACACACTATTGACTGCAGGTATGTATTCTGCAATCATTAAAGTAGTAAGGAAATCTCAAAAGTTTTTTCCATAATGAATCCAGATCAAACAAATATTTACATTGCCCAGCAAAGTATTTCTTGACATTTTTGCTCAAACATTTATAGTCCTCATGTTTCTGAACATGTTTCTGTTAAACATTAAGAAGCGCCATCCATTCTAAGTGATTTTCTCAGATTATTTAGACTTTTATATCACTTTAAATGTATTTTGAATGCAACTAGTGTAAGTACACGACTATGACTTGGCATCAGCCTCTTGTAATCCCCTATACAGTAGCACTAAGAATAGGAGCAGGCAGGGCAGCACTAGAAGCCAGTCAGGTGTGCTTCATGCTCATCTGCTGACTGGAGGAGAGAGATGATCAGGCTGCCAATGCTTTTTCATTGTTCCTTACATAATCTAGGAGCCTAGATGGTGACCAGACTGTATTGCTTAGCTGCTACAGAGAGAATGCTGGTCACCACACAACTGTACTGTCTGGCATGGCTCTGTACATCTCATACCTGGATGAACAGGAAAAAAAAAGTCCTTTGGCAAGCTAGACAGCTCCTGTTTATGTATTTCAACTGTGTTTACCCGGAGTTTCCCTTTAAAGGATAATTCCACTTTTTCGGGGTACATTTGGAAAAATAAAATTACCCCCTCCAAATTGGAGGGGAGGTGAGTGAAATTTATAATACAGAACGCAGGACTGCGCAACACGGCAGTACGGGGTACGGATAGCACACTGACACTGGCGGAGGGGAAGGAGTGTTCCCCCAAAAGTAATTATAGCAAGGAAAGGGGGGGGGG